ATTCATGTCTCTGAAATTTTTACAGGACAACATCTGTGTACAACACTGGGTATTAATATGTTCTCTTTATACTGAGATGTTTTTAGTATTTTTAGCTTTGTGAATAGTTTTTCAGAATTTTTTTATTTTTGCAAGGGTGGTGAAGAGGTTTTGGATATTATGATCTGTAGAATCTAGAAGAAGTATAATATATTAATGAAGATAAGTTTGTTAATTATTTGGCTCTTCTGGTTGATATTGTTATATAAGGCTAGCTAGGGCCGGGCCATATGTAGGGTGTGAGTTAGTGTTCCGAAGTTCAAGTTCGGCTCAATTAGGTTCGAGTTCAAGTTCAATTGAACCCAGACTGAACTTTACATTTTGCAGATCTTTGAACTTGAACCTGAACCGAACCTAGAACTTATGAACCTGAACTGAACTTGAACTTGGTATATTGGTTCGAGTCTGAGTTCAGTTCAAAAGTTCATGAACATGTTTAGGTTCAATTAATAATTAAACATCTCTAAAAAGATACTATAAACCTGGATTACTTACTATGGACTGATATGCAATATTATGTGACAACTATTAACCCTTTCTAATTTCTCTTTGTTAACATGCAGCAGATCGGTTCCAATAAAATTTATAAGTATCTTATTTATTGGAAAAATTTTATATTATTTTATATGCGCTATATGAATTGCACGTGTGGATTATCAGACCTAGTGGTTGTATCTGGTTAACTTTAAGATTACCTGGATAACTGAATTATATCTGAAGATAACCCGGTGTTATGCTCAAAATTTCTCTTTAGATAGTATCATATTATTCTATTATTTTATGTATTTTTTATTCGGGTATAGTCTGAGAATGAATATTGTATCATGTTGGAGCCTATGACTCCCGGAGAGTTAAAAGCTCCCAAAGAGAGTAAATAACTCTCAGACGAAGGAAAAGACTCTCAATGGGAGTTTAAGACTTCAGGCTAAATTTGTGAATATACAAGGATGTGATTTCAGTCTGCAAAGAGAATAATGGTTGTTAGAATGATGATTGATAGTATTTAGTATTATTGTAATAATCCGATGTATTGATTTATGTTAATAAAGAGAAACCTTATAACCTGTAATTATGTGTATTAGTTTATTGACTTTAAACCCTTTGACCTTAATTACTATTTGTTCACGATCGCTCTCCGCTAGTCGTAACACTGGTTATAATAGTTATCCTCTCACTTATAAAACCGAATATTGGATTTTACAAAAGGTTATAACTTTTGAGGTAAAAAGTTAACTAGATACGATCACTAACTGTTCTTTATACATTAAATTAATAATTTAATTTTTATCTATAGTTCTATATTTTCTATTGAACAATATCTAATATTTATTTAACTTTATTTACTCAACTATCTATCTTTATTATCTATCTATATAATAAAAGCGTTAAATAAATATATCAAAAGTAAATAGTAAAATTATTATCAATAAAACGCTTTTTAAAAATTAAAACTTACACTAAACATTTCTATTAATAATAGTGCAAAATAACAGATAAAGAAAATATGTGAAATTGAGCAAAAATATAATTTAATTATGAAGTTTAACCCTTTGAAAATTCGGTTATTATAATCTTAATTATAAAATATAATAATGTAAATACAGTAGTTATATTTCTGAAATTTGTAATTTTAAGATGTACTTATATACTGTATAATTTTAGCACGACTAAATCGCACAGCTATCCTAATACATTTGAACCACCTTTTTTTTTATCTCAGCGTGTTATTATTTATTTTTTTTATTCATTTTATTTTCTATTTCCAATCAACTGTCCTAACTTATAGTATACAAAATTAGATGGGGCCCTGCTTTTTCTTCTATTGATCATTCCATTTGAGTTTGTGTGATTTCTACCATCAGCTATTTTAAAAATTCTTTTACAAGCTTGCCTTTATTCCAGCGACACATAGTGTGTGGTTAAGGTTGAGTTAGGTTTTATCAGAATTATCACGAATTTTATCATGAGTTATTGTAAATAAATCTGTTACGAAACTTACTTGTCATTTAGTGATACATGGTATGTTGTTAAGGTTGAGTTGGTTTGCAATAAATTACCGTAATTTCTATCATGAGTTATGTGAAACATTTTGTTACAGAACTTATTTGCAATGGATTACAACCTGAGTTTGCTCCTGGAACTCCAGATTATGTTAAATTGACAAATCAATACATGGATTCAGATCCACAAAAACGGTCAACAAAATTAGTGATTGGCTTGAAAAGTTAACCTGTTCAGATGAAAAAAGCGAAATCAAAAAACAATTCTTATAGATACTGATAAAATTACCAATAATTTTTTAAAATTATCCGGTGCCATGCTCAATTTTTTAGTGTCATATTATTTTATCATTATTGTTATTTTATGAATCTCTTACTTTGGTATAGTTTGTGGCACGGTTGGGTGATTAAAGCTCCAATCAAGTGATTAAAACTTCAATCGAGAGATTGAAGCTCCAAGCGAGGGATTAAAACCCTCAATCGAATTAAAGATATGTATATGAGTGTAGTTTCAGTCCGTGAAAGGAAGAATGGTTGTTAGAACGATGAGTGATAGTATTTAGTATTATTGTAATAATCCGATGTATTTGATTTATGTTAATAAAGAGAAACCTTATACCCTGTAATTATGTGTTTAGTTTACCAATATAAACAATTTGACCTTAATCACTATTTGTTCATGAACGAAGCTAAATTGGTTTCAAGACCCTAAAAAGCACTCAAACCGGATCATATGGGATCTTTGTTAGGAAAATCACCCTTCGGGATTTTCCGATCGGAAAAGTTTAGACCAGAATGTCGGTCTTTTTACTTTACTGATTCGACACTTTATTTAATAAACTATCGAATAAATAAAGCAAAAGGTGATTTACATATGAATAAGAACTGGCATTCTGGTCTAAGCTTTTCCGAATTAGCCCGATCGGAAAAACCCGAAGGGTGATTTTCCCAGCAAAGATCCCATATGTATACTAGTAGCTTAATCGGACCCGGACGTGAACTTCGGACAGAACCCGAACATGTTCCAAAACTTTGCTTCAAACCGAACTCAAACTACTTTTTTTACGTTGGTCCGGTCCGGTCCGGTCCGAGATTCGAACTCAACCCCGAACTTACCCCAAGTCCGGTTCGGTCGGAGCCCTAATAGTAAGTTAGATAATAAAAATTTACCAAATAAATTTCGAATAAGAATTGTTTATCAAATAAATACTTTTTCTTTACACAAAAAAATTTTTATATTAAAGGTTTTATATAATGATAATTCTTATATGTCGTTAATAGAGATGCTGAGAAAACCATGTGATGCTAAATAATCACAAGGAAATAACTGGTAATTTTTTTAAGTCATGCAATAAGTATAAGCTATAGTGTGCGATGATTTAGCATTACATAGTTTTCTCAGCATCTCTAGTCGTTAACCTGTCGAGCTACGAGATCCAGTTAAGTAAAATCTCAGATTTTAATTTTAAACAACGATTAGGTAACTGATCGTGGTGGTTAGAATTCTAAATCTGGCTGCCCCGATTCTGAATCAGGACCAGTGTTTGAAAAAAATTGTGATTTTTTTAAAAATTCATGTTCACTGTGAACACCGTGAACATATGATTTCCAACACTGATCAAGACAGCTGGATTTTGAATTGGGTGGATTCCCATCCGGGGTACAACATATATATTCAATTAAACATACCAATACGAAAAAAACGTTAGCAGATGAAAATCATGTAAGCGTGAAGATTCTTCACACCAATGCCAAGAAACTTTTTAAAAATTTTCGATCATAGGTGAGTTAATATTAATATATATCGATATAAATATGTAATATCATATATAACATCGAAATATACATACAAAAGTAAAAGCGATTATGTATGCAAAATTCCAGCTTTATTATACACAAATAAACAAGGTAAGTGTCACGGGGTTAATAGATATAGGATGAATATCTGGTCCAAGGTTATCGAAGTTGAACAAATATTCGTTTTAGGCCACACAAAGTTTTGCATTACCCACCGACCCATTTTTTCAATTTTTCGAAATTTTTTCTATTTTTGCCATTTAATTTTTTTCCATAAATCAATCCGGTATCACCCGGTAGAGACCTTATTTTCCGGAATTGTCCGATAGAACTGATAAAAACAAATTCCTAATTATCTGATTCCATGTTATGCAAAACGAAAAATTAAATATGGGTAGCCTTAAATATGAACATGAGTCTATTAAATACTGTATATTAAAAGAAAAAAAAATCCGACCGACCGACCGTTGATTTTAAAATCCATGTAATGCAAAACGAAAATTAACTTTGCGTGGCCTTATTATTTATTTATTTATTTATTTAATAAGGTTAAGGTAAAACGATCAAATGGAATAAGCAAAGGGTATTACTTTATTAAATAAATTTCTGTGAACTCTTTTACATTTCTATTTATAGAGTATGCCAAGTTCAACACTTAAAAAATCTAATTAAGTGTTTTGCACTGATAAAATCCACCCTCCCGACCAGGGTTGGCAATGGAGCCAATGGAGCTCAAAAAACTAGTATCCATTGACTACATTCAAAGCTTCGTTGGTACCATTCGCAGCTCCCTGATAAGTGCAATTCATATACTATTATTAATTGCTATCGATTACTACATTGTTCATGCAATTGTTATTATTACTAATTGCTATCGATTACTACATTGTTTATTATAATCGCATTACCCTTTTATTACCGTTACTAATTTACGATCATAAATTAATTACCATCACACATGTAACAGTAAGGAAGGATTTCATCTATTATTTCAAAAAATTTACTAGTAGCATCTTGAGAATTTGCACTCATCCGAACATTTTTAAATTCTCTATCATACCAGAAACGAACGGTGTTCAGGTAGCTCATTGGAAGGCCTAAATTGGTCATTCTATACGGCCATCCGAATACTATTTGGTATGGAGTAGTCTTGAGCGCCCTACATTAAGAATTATTCATGGCAAGAATAACTTGTTGTAGACCAATAGTCCAATCTTCGTTTTTAGTGGACATTACCCATTTTGCTAATTTATCTTTAAGGATATGATTGTTGTAACATTATCTTCCCGAGAGAAGTGTACAATCCAAACCTTCAGTTACTTCTATAACCTCTCTTGCAACTTCTACAAAAGGAAACATATCGTTTATAAAATCTCTTTAAGTTTCTTCGAAAATAACTTCGTTTTCCCATTATTTAAAAACTATTCTCTAATAGGCGAAGTTTTTTGGCGTATTGGTTTTTCTTCTGGATAGGCCAATATTTTTTGACTTTTTGATTTTGGAGAAGTTCATCGTCATCATGTAAGGAAAGTTTAAATAAATTGCCAATATTATTATCACGAATTTCGACCTTCCACAATTTAATGTCTTTAAATGGTACATTATCAAATTGTGGGTAAAGCTCTGATTTAATGGCTTTCTTGAGATAGCTAATTAACATGTTACTATTGATGTCAATAGCAAAAGCTTGTGTAATTGGCTCTCCTTGGACAAGGCAAAGAAATGTAATCGACATAGCGTTGTATAAAATTATAGGTCAACTTATTATCCGGTCTTTTTATAAAAGAAGAGGCGCATTGAATTTTCGACATATAAATAATTTGTTTCTTTTCCTCAAAATGGATATTGCCACGTGGATCGTTACCTGCGTAAAAAAATTTATGCATTCTAGTTGGCTGTTTAGTTGGTAACATCCAGGGAGTTTAATATTACGTGTGAATATTAAATTATACTGATACAAAATCGCTAGCTAGTCCTCTTCTTAGAAAATTCACATTCACATTGTCTATATATTTACATTTATCATCCATCCCCTAAAGATATGCCATTTTTGATACGTTTATTTTTATTTGTTAATGTGTTATGATTTTTATTATATATATGTGACTAAAAATTTTTATTATATAAACCTGTTATGTGTGGCTGTGACCCGTTTACAAACAAATTTTAAATAGAGATGCACGGATGAAAAAAATCAACAATAAACGATATTTAGAGGCACAAAATCCAGAATGCTGTTTAAAGTTAAAACTTCAGTTGACATCATCCTCTACTCGTAATCAATAAAATTGACCCATATTTTCGCGTAACAATATGTGTTCATTTAAAATTTTCTTGCTCACTAAACAAAAATTAACTTCAAACAATTCAACTAGAATCTCTAGACTAAATGTTGATTGGAAGTAAATTCGTTATAACAGATTTGTTATTTTAAAATAGGTTGTTTATTTTATTGTTCGTTTCAATCCCAGAAAATGATGTTAACCGAAGATTTAATTGCAAGCGGCCCTTATTATGTTTACTATCCCGAAAATTTTGATTAAAATGAATACCTTATGTTCATCCTCGCCAACTCAATTCCGTTTTAATAATAGTTGCCAAGCGCAAATATTCCATATCTAAGCAGTAATCTTCACGAAGTATCTTAAATAAAATGAAAAGAAAAATTCGCAAGGATTAAAGCATCGGGATCTTCATAGTAGAAACATTTTGCAAGACGATTTGGATAATGCATACATTACAGATTTGGAACTCTCTTTCCTTTTCAACATTAATTCCAGTTTCCAATCTTTGATAATAAATGAATGCCTTATTCTTACATTTTTCAATTCCAATTCTAGTTATCGGCCGAAATATACCACTAGTGCTATCCACCTCTATCGATTTTTGATAATAACAAACGCCTACTCTCATCTTTTTCAACTGAATTTAAATTCCAGTCGTCAATCGTAAATATTCCACTAGTGCTCCCATCCGTGCCGATTTTTTAATAATAAATGAATCCCTTATTTTCGTCTTTTCCAGCACCAATTCTATTAAAATATGGTAATATTCAACATTAAATATTCCACTAACGTCACCTATCTCTGCATATTTTTAACAATAAATATGCTTTATATTCAAGCACAAATATTTCACTAATGTTCCAAAACTCTGTTGATTTTTAATAATAAACGGGTAGGCTACGCCCAACAGCTAACCAATAAACCTAGCCCTAACCCCAATTCTAATCTAAACGTAATTCTAGACTTCTTAGAAAATATATTGCGAAACGATTCATGATAAACACGTACGTACGTTAGAGATGCGAACCGTTTGCCGATTCTAACAGTTTTCGGTCAAAATTAACCGTAATGCTGGCCAAAAACTGTTAGGATCGACAAACGGTTCGCATCTCTAGACGTACCGTGAAACGGCGTCGAAAATCATTTAGAAACAAAGTAAAACCTACCATTAACGACGTAATAGCTACAACGAAATACTGTAGAAATTCATTAAAACCTAAAGGGCGTTAGCGCACAAGTAGAGCTAAACAATGAACAACGAAATCGAGGCCTACACTTATCAACTAATGACTTCTGCAAACGATGGCATCCATGAACGATGACACCCATAAACGAAGACTCCGACAAACGACGACGACGCTCTAACAAAAAAAAAAAGCTAAAATCTTCATACCGATCCGTGTAACCAGTGATATCGCAACCTGATAAAATTGGGGTTTACCACAGAATCCCGACATCCAAAATCCCGACGCTCAAAATCCCGACATTCAAATCCCGATAGTACAAAATAACCGACACTCGAAAGTATGGTATTTTCGGAATTGGTGCGTAATGCCTGCATAAGTAATAAATAATGAATTATTAATTCATATATAACAATAACATAAAGCAATCACATAATGCACTATATCCACCAATAATATACAGGCGTAAACCCGAGTATAATTATTGAGTTAATCTATAATATAATATACGAGCACTGTGCAATATAAATCAAGTGCTGCACGAAGTAAGCCGATATTCCTGTTTCGGCTAAGAATAAAGACTACATGTTACCATGCTTAAAACGCATGATGATAGACTTTTTTTTTTGTACAAGTTAGTGCCGTTATGTTTCATATTATTTAATTGAAGTTTTATCTATTCTTCAAAGAAGCTGCATATTGCTTTTTATGACAATATTTACGGCCGTGAGGCTAATAGAATTTCAATTTTTAATCATAATTAGAATCTCCTATTTTAAAATTAACAAAATTAATCATTATTTGTACTTTTCTGGTAATTTATGTACATACGAACGTACGAACGTACGAATACGTACCACTGTTTTCATATTCCAACTCCTTAAAAATAATATATATTTTTCGTTGATAATACGTTAAGATTGGCACTAATAAGGTTTGAAGCATTCTGTTGTGGGTACCTAAATTTCTATTACTTGCATTTTAAATTTACATAGATTTAAAGTAGTACGTAGCCATGCTATATTGAATACTATCCTTAATTTAGTCATAATAAAATTAATAAAATTAAATATATAATTATATATAAAAATTTAAACGAGTAAATTATCGTAAGCTAAATTTTTGACAAGTTATACGTATACAGGTGAAAAACTTAATTCCTTAATTTCGGAAATAACAAAATACAAAAGTCCCGAAGGTATATAATTTCTACCGCTATTTGCAGTTTCATATATTTTAAAATATGTATTAGCAGTGTCATTGTCATTGCATCAATCGCACCTTATTAGTCAACCAATAAAAACTGTAATACATTACGGTTATAGTTTTAAATCACTTGATTAAAAATTATACGTATACCGATACGAAATTAATTTTATTAATAATTTTATAAATTTACTATACATTAAGTTTTATTGTATACAATATTAAACCAGGTAATATTTTATTAGCCAGTTTAATATTATTCAAAAAAGTTGAATTTTAAAAATTTAGACTAATCTTTGAAAGCACTTATAATATTTTTAATATATTACAATTTGTCAAATCATCTAGACTTTTTATGAACTGTTAATTTACCTAGTAAGAAAAAAAAGAAATTGGTTAAGTAAAAATTTTTTAAATAACTTTTTTATTATATTATTAATATTAATGTTTAAAGCAAGATGCATTAATGAAATGTAATAAACTGTCACATATAAATTACTAAAATAAATTAGTCGATTGTACGCATATTTACATACGTACTTTTTTTCGTTTAAAATACATTACCAAAAGATCAATTAAATAAGTTATCTCAAATCTTTTTTTTTTTTATATATTTTTATTTGGGTGTGATAATCCTAAGTTCTCTAAACAAAGCCTTATTTATGCGAAAAAAATTTTTTTTTAAATTATAATCAAATATATATAGATACAATTACTAATATATATCAAAATCTATTAATGACTAATATCAAAATAGGATTTTTTACGTCAGTTTTTACATGTTTATTATTATACAGTTTTCAGATAATTGTTTTTTTTTTTTAGTTTGTATGGCTGCAATTTCTATACATCACCGTAATTATCATATCTTCGGTAATTCATCTGGTCTTGTGGACTGTACATGTTATTTTGTGATATTTCATTATCCTCTCCAGAATAATATGCTTGACCATAAGCCACAGTAGGTCGTTGAGACATTTGATTATTATAATAATCGTCATAATTATATTGACTAGATACATTTGGCATTGGAGCCGATGATATATTTGGCATTGGAGCTGATGCTACATTTGGCATTGGAGCCGAGACTACATTTGGCATTGGAGCCGAGACACCTTGATAATAAGGGTCAGGTGTTGATTGTTGTGGTCTAACTATCGGAGATGACATTGAACTCTGTGGACCAGCCACATTATGTAAACGAGGGGATCTTGCTTGATAAAGTTGTTGAGACGACTGCTGCATGTATGGTGGTTGATTTACCTGTCGCATATGAGGGGGAGGAGTCGGAGTAGAATATTGTCTGGGATTAAAGGCAGGACTAGTGGAACGCTCATTGTAAACCTGACCAGCAGCGGAAGAAATGCTTTCATGACGAGATGAATTATAATTATGAAATAACGGCGCAGATGAACTATCTCTAACAGGATTACTATTAACGTTCGGACTTTGGACATAATAACCCTGTTTCTCAGCAGCAGCAACATTATAATTTGCTTTATCAGGAGGATATTCAGAGAGATTGAAAGCAGTTTTTGGTGGAGGATCATTATATTGCGGAGGATAACCATCGTGTAATTCTGGAATTGTAGGTTGCGGACCTTTATTTTGACCTTTTTTATTAGCATCCGCAATACGTTCTTTCCTTTGGTTATCAAGAAGTTGACCAACCCTAATTTAAATATGATTTAAGTAGGAGATTAGTACCGAATTGTTTAAAAGGAATTGAGACGCAATAATAAATAAATAATAAATAATTAATTAATTAATTAATAATCAATACCTTTTATCTATGATATGACAACAATATTCTTTCAAATTTCCCTGAATCTTACAAAGCAGGGGGAGGTATAAAAGAAAAGCACAAAGTAGATTTGTAACAGAGATAGCGAACACCGCCACGGTGAATGACATAATTGCTATAGAAGCCTTTGAGGTAAGCGAACCATACACTGATAAATTCATAGAAAATTTCTTTTGTTGTAAAAAGGTGAATACAGTGATAGCGTTTATAACCTGACGAGGGCCATCGCATAATAAAAGACGTTTGTAGCCTAAAAAAAGAAAGAAGATAATATTAATTATACATAATTAAAGGCTTGTTCGACAGGTAATTATATAGACGAACCTTTAAATTCAAAGAAAACATAGAAAGCAATTTTATCTAAGAATTTTTCTCTGTCCTGTATCTCCTGGAAAAAGCTCCAGTGAGCATAACTGGTTAATGTATAATACCTATAAGCAATTTTATTGGTAAAGGAGACAGAAATATCCCTTGATTTTACGATGGCGTATGCTTTTCTCATTTCCAGAAACAATAATAGGAAAGACATGAGAATTGAACCGACGAAAATCCATTTTGAAATTGAAAAAGGAACTGCTGGTTTAATTGTAGCCCAACTATCGTTAAGTAATAATGCTGTCATAGAATATAAATCGGCAATATAAACCAGTACTGCTTTTAAAACGATAAAGAAGACCACTGAATATCGCATTTTGGCAAGACAATCATGTTTTTCGAACTCGTTGACATCAACAAAGTCATACTTGTAGTCTTTAACTATTTTATTATCCCTTTCCCTTTTCCACTTAACCATGATTTAATCTATAAAATTGGTCAGTTATTTAATTACCCAAAGCGCTATGATTAAAATCTTCACTTTTATAATTATTATTCGATGAATTTTTAGTTGTTGATTAATAATGCGGATCTAATTTGTATGTATGATGATTTTAAAATCCGTGACAAACAACTAATTCATGAACAATCTTTATAGCAAGAAAAATGAACAAAAAAAAAAAAAGTGATATATGTCAAAATAAGTTTTGTAAAAAGGAAAGGGTGTTGAATTAGAAACAAAAGTAACAATTTAAATAGTTTTGAAACCGGAGGACATAAAAAATAAACAATACTACATATAAAAAAGTAATAGATGTACTACACTTGTGACTTTATGCGATACGAACCGCTTAAAAAAAAAAGTTTCTTTATCATTTCAAGGTATATATATATATATTTATGTAGATTAACCTAAAAGCTAAACGTATCTAATTATCCTTGACTACCGAATCTGATTAGTTTCTAAGCACGTATTACCAAATAAAGATATCTCCTGTAATGATCTATTACAGATCAATCCACTCTCTTGTTAATTATTGTGTGACTCGAGTACATAAATTTGTCTTACGGAGCACCAGTAATTGATAACGATAACATTAACGTTAATAATCCTTTTTTGTAATTTACCGCTTTTTAACCGAAAACGATCGATTATATCTATAAAGTGTATAAATTAACAAATTTATTTTTTCCTTAATTGCAAATCAGAAACAATCCGTCAACAAACGATGAACGACGATTGATTTATTTTCTGAATAAAAACCTATAAATAAACTGCTTTTGTTTATGTAAAACCTTTCTATTGGTGACGTTACCTAAATTATTTGGAACGACCAAAATACATGATCTATATGATATTTTGGTATTACATTGAGTTCTACTGTACAGTACATTGGTTTATACATCAAACCTTATTGTCGATAATTGATTATCATTCAATTTGGGTCATTTAATTTCTTTTTGATAGGGAATCCCTACTTTTTCCAGAATTCTCTTGTTCATATAATATTCCGTGAAGCATCACAAATTGTGCCATGTGAGTCATTTGGCCATTTACTCTAGGCTGCATGTACAGACCAAAATTTCCACTTATGTATATTTCACACTTGCTCTAAAATTATGCAAACCAACCAGAGATAATAAAATTGTTAATGTTTATTTCTTTTTAATTCATACGTATCGACGTTATATGATTTACGTTAATGTTACTGTATGTATATGATTTTATAAATCTTATTTAAAATGTTTGCTCTAATAAAATTTTGGGATTCAAAATTTTAAATACAGAAATAGTGATAGAATCGTTTGTTGTTAATTAAAAAAAATTCCAAATATTGTATTTCTGTATTTATTGATCTAGTTACATTTTCAAGCATGAAAAATTCGATTTGTCTTCTGATTAGTTAGTGTTAATGCATTATACGTAATAGGACCCCCTTATGATTTCTGACTGAAAGAATTTTTCTCAGGTTATACAAAGATTTTTATACCCCGCGTTCCAGGAGGGTTGTATCTATTTTTAGAACAGATTACATAATTGATAAAAAGTTTGTATATGTGTTCGATTTTATGCTATAACATAACAAATAAAGAGTAATGTAGGTTACCATCTAAATTGAATTTTATTTTTTTACAGTACAGTACTAATAATTAATTTTTATATATTATTAAAATTTGTTATATAACTTTATATAATTCTAAATTAATTTTCATATAATAATTATAATTAATCATACAAGTTGATTTCTTAATTTTTATAGAATTTTATGTATATAAACTTTTTTTTAAAATTCATCTAGTTATTTCTATAATTTTTGATATATTTAAATTATTATAAGAAATCCAAGATAACGGATACAATAAATACAGTATGTTTATTATAATTATTTAGTTATTTATTATTTTTGGACTATTTTTTAGTTATTAAAAAAAATAACATCCATGAGCGTTATTTTGAATAATGGCCCGAGTTAAGCTCAATTTAGACCAAAGTTCCTGAACGTTATTTCGCGACAATACAGTATATTATAATTATAAAAATAGTTATATCTAGCGTTATATTGTTATATTGTTATATTGTGCAATTGTTTTGGCAATAATGTATATTTTAGTTTTTGCTAATTTTTAACAAAATAAACCATTACACCCGTCTGAAAAATCATAACCGGGTGACTCGACGGATAACCCGCGTGTCACTCGGATGGATTAACAGGTCCACCAGGTCATCGGCCATCGGGTAACCCGATTGACCCGGCTGGACAATTCAAAATCAATGCATTTCTTTACCTATTGTAATATTAATACGATAGTCAGAAGTTCTGGATGCAATTCGGGCATCAAAATAGGGAGATAAAAAATTTGACATGCCAAAGCTCTAAATTTTACGTGCATGCTATAATCACATGATTTATTTGTATGAATTTAATTGGGTAAAAAATTTTTTTCTAAAACTTAATGAATACTTGATACTGTATCTGGTATTAATGAACTACATCTCTATATAATATTTGTTGTGTAGCTTTTAATAATTATACGTTTATTCTGCATTACTTAAAATAGTAGTTTTGTTATTTGAGTAATAAGATTTAATAATATACTGTGATTGTTGTACTGTTACAATAGTACACAGTAGCTCTTGATATAATGTATTGTTCGGACAATTGGAGAGAAATTAACTAAAATCAGCAATATTGTGAGCATATCAATAAATCCATATATCAAGCAAAATTTATTATGAGCTTTGATTCATTATATCAAGATTTTACTTAATCTGTGTTATAACGAGAGCCCGTTATATCAAGAGTCACTATGTATTTGCATTATTATAACTAATAATAGGCTTGATGGCATGTTTATAGCATGCCATGATAAAGTATATAGTATAGAAAAAATTCATGTACTAAACTAAGGTCTAACCTAGTCAAAAAATCTATATTTGAATGTTCATTCGTTCAATCTTTTTAATATCCGAATATTTATAAAAAATATTGAATAAATATCTGACACTGGATATTCATTGATAATTATGAATTGTAATAATATTATGAAGTCGAACTGTTTGCTGATTCTAAACATTTAATAACAAAGGATTTTAATAACTTCAGGCTACATTAAATGAATAAACAGATAAAAAAAATACTAAATTGTTTTGTAGCTAATAAGAATTTCTTTTCTTCATCTACTCTGGGTTCTATTACTAACCAATCAAGAATACAAGATTGGATATAAAATATTAATATTTACCATAATTGGTTATTAAACAATATTAGTATATATTTATTGAATATTAATAATTCATGGCAAATAAGTTTTCTAAACTTTTACTAAAACGTACTTATGGTGTTTTACATTTATGTATATATTATCTCAAAAACTGACTAATTGATCCGCGCAAGATGTCCCAAGTAAAAATGCTCTACGCCCTTAAAAACTCTTTCCAAACACTAGCCTAACCCTGAATACTAACACTATCGTGAAAATTTTATATTCAAAATTTATAAAAATTTAAAAGCATAATAAAACATATAGGTGCGTTTTATAATAAATGCAAAAAGATTATATTTTAATATTACAATTTAATTATAAGAAATTTTTAATAGTAAAATAATATAAAATATAGTATATATTATAAAATATCACTTTTTTTAAATATTTTAATTAAAATATAAATTCCAATATAAACAAATTACACCCTATCATCGTTATGCTGTAATGATCGGGCTGGGAAATTCCATCTGTTATAATGAAAATCCGTTTAATATAATAATAATAATTTTTGATTTGTGCTAGAGAATTACTCCGTTAAAATAAGAGATCCGCTATAACGGGATCCGGGTAGAGTGTATTTTAAACTTAGTAATAGTTTCATTTTTTTATATAACTGGTTAATATAAAAAATAGAATAAATCTAACTATGACCAGTAATGATTATTACCAGGGTGTTGTATTTTAAAAACGTATTAAGTAATTAAAGTTAGAGATTTTATGTAAAAATATTTAGAACTCCTGAAAATTTTAACTAAAATTTAAACAGATCCGCCTTACTTCACCGACAATCATTTCATCGACAGCTCACTTCGCCGACAAAAAATATATACCTACAACTAATAAAACGTTAACCCTAATCCTATGTGATGTTGGTGAAGTGAGCAGCGCCGATTTTAAACTCC